ATCTGGCTGTAAAGACGCACAATGAAGTCACTCCTTTTTACCGCCATTTTGAGCCTTCGGAAACGTTCGGAACAGCTTCTCATCAAGTTCGCAATACTATTACAGGTAAGGTTGACGCATGCGCAGACGTTTTTCCGCGGTGTTGCCTATAATGGACAGATAATTGACACTTTTACACAAGTCCGAAATGATTTTTACTTTATCTGCGTTTTAAGGCAAAAATGCTCATTATCTCTCCATTTGACATAACTAGTATCTATAATCACCTGGGGTGCAAACTGAACTATTATTATGCTATTTAGATACTTTCGTAGCATGATTATTACCTCCGCCAGGAGGTTATGTAATCATCTGGGTTTGTATGTATGTATGATGTGTGTGTGTGTGTTTGTCTGTGAGCACGATAACTCAAAAAATACCAAACATATTCATACGAAATTTTTTGAATGCATTCTCATCGGCTAAGGAAGAACTGATTAAAATTTGGTTGAATTTGGTGAAAAATTAAACGAGAAATGAAAAAACGTTTGTCTTGCTTTTCTCGGTCAATTAAAAAACTTACTGAATGCATACAGTAATTAGGACGTGTATAATTTATGCACGCAGTATACAGGGTATATAAAGGTATACAAATAATGAAATTAATGGTAACTGTTTAGATTGTATACAATTGTAAATCTCACTTATACAAGGGAGGCTGCTCTAAAATCGTGTGTTTTACAAATACATTCTAATATCTTAATAATAACAATAGGTCAATAGTTAATATATACACGCTGGCAATATTTAGGTACGTTTAAATCGTTTTATACGCCGAATTTCTGTCACGTCGAACACGACTAAGATAATAGTCAATAGATAATAATGAGATGATAAACCTCATTAAGCTTCAGCCTTCATTATCTATTATCGTAGTTGCATTTCACGCGACCGAAATTCAATGTCTAAAACAATGCGTACGGACTTACGTATCATTGCGTTCAGCAAAGTGCTAGGCCATTCGAATTCTATTAACAATAGATTACTTAAATTAATAGTTTGCGCTTTTTTCCACTTCCGAGTAGCGGGCGGAGGTATAGATCTCAGCTGAGTGCCTTTGCGTTTGATTACTACCAGAGTTTGATTATTTCTCTATAGATGGAGATGAATGTTCTCGAGGATTGGACAACTGCGACAGTAATTCTCAATGTATTAATACTATTGGAAGTTTTTCATGCAGATGTAACCAAGGTTATAGCGGAAATGGCGTTAACTGCACTGGTAAGTTCTGCGACTTGTTATTGCCCACAACTACCTAAACTCATTCACCCAAGAATATCAGTTTTTATATCTCTTTAGATATAGATGAATGTTCTCTATCTATTGACAACTGCCACCAAAATTCAAATTGCACCAACATTGATGGATCATTCATATGCACTTGTGGTAGTGGATATACTGGAAATGGAGCTGTTTGCCAAGGTATTATATATGTTGTGCAACTTGGGAGAGTCAATTCCGTTGAAAAGCGTCATAAAAGGGGAGCTGAGAGTAAATCTGCACCAGGAAAAAGTGAAATATATCAAGATATTGAAGCGTTCAAGATACTAATGAAGTTTTCGCCTGTATTCTAAAAAGCTCACTTACGCACAAAGCGTTGAGGTTTAACACTTTGCGAAATATTTTGGTGCGATTGGCGAAGGCACGAGATTTCTAGGGCGGTATGGGGGAATGCTCCCCCTTGCATGCATTCTAAGAGCACATTTTGTAAGAAATTTCAGATTTTCAGAACATCAATTTAATGGTGCATTTTGTTATAAATCATATGCTAAGCATAAAAAACGACATTTCAGGGGAAAAAATCTAGATTATTAAATAAATTTGTGAATGGAATTGCAAGGTGGTTTAACTCTTTCTCGACAAGTCCTACACATCGTCAGATTTTCTAGAACTACTTGACGACTTTGTATGTTCATATCTTCGGTTTAGTGCATGCTATGAATACATTAATACCACCATTTATTTAGCTTCGCCTTGACAAAAAACGTACACAATACAATTAAGTACAACAATTCATATACCTGAGACATAAAAACATAAAGCGTTAACTGCAAATGTGTTATATAACATTAGTTATTGATGAATGTTCTCTCTCTATTGATAACTGTCATACATACTCTACCTACAACAACAATGATGGATTTTTCTTTTGCACTTGTGACAATGGATATATTGGAAATGGAGTTGTTTGTGAAGGTATATGGGGTGATGATGATTTTGCAAATCATTGCAGTTGAAAGGACACAGTCTCAACCAAGACTGTTCGCAAAAATAAGGAATGGCAATTGAGTAATTTTAGTTGGATGAATAATATCGAGTTCAAAATGTTTACTTGGACTATAGTGAAATATTTTGAAGAAACACCTATTCATTTTGTCAAATTAACAAAAACTATTTGGAAAATGTTTTTAGACATAGATGAATGCTTTTCGTATATCAATAACTGTCGCCACAAAAATTCATACTGCACCAACACTTATGAATCTTTCATGTGCACTTGTGGCAATGGATATTCTAGAAATGGACTGTTCGCAAAAATAAATAGAAGTCTTTGTTTTTGGAAGATAGCATTTGAAAGGATATAAGATTTCGACCAAAACCTGCAAATCTCCTATTTCAAAAATAGGAAAACATTTACATCTCCCAAGAGATCGATTATTTATGCCAACTGTTTCTTTATGTCTACAGACATCAATGATAAAACCTCATATTACCTCTCTTAAAAAAAGCAAAACATTTATACACCTTCCTAATTGTTTATGCCGACTGATTCTATAATTCTTTAGACATCAATGAATGTGCTCTATCAATTGACAATTGCCATGCAAACTCAACCTGCAGCAATAGTGACGGATCTTTTCTTTGCACATGTAATGGTGGATATGATGGAAATGGAGCTGTCTGTCGAGGTACAGTATATGTAGATGTTGATGTACTATTTAAAAAACGAGCAGGAGTGTTTATTAGGTTTAAAGCCACGAGCGCGCAGTGCGAGTGGCTTTAGACCTAATAAAACACGACCCGCGAGTTTTTTAAATGACTTCAAAAACGTATGCATAATAAGTCAAATCTTTATATAAAAATCTTTATACAAAAATCTTTATATAGTTTGCATAACAATGGTCTTTTGTTAAAGTGTTCTTTAGCTGGTATAAAGACGTATGCACGTGACTAATTTCTTACTCAAGATTGGATAATTGCTTCATGAATTGTTAATGAGTTTTTGAAGAATGTGTAAATCATTCCAGTTCGAAACAACCTCATTCATAGTTAAAAATATTATTGCCCAGCAAATAACTCGTAAAAGAGGCATATTCAAAAAACATTTGGTATATAAGAAAATATTTATTGAGTAACGTTTCGTCACATTTAATAAAAGCGACATCATCAGATTAAATACAGTTAAGCTATTTCATCTATTTTATAACAAATTTTGAAAAAAATATATGATACACAATTAGAAAGGGTTAAAAAGCTAAAATTAGAAATATAAAATGTTGATGATATATTGACATGTACAAGATACTGCATGAGAGTAATGAAAGATATACTGATGATGTCGCTTGTAATGTGACGAAACGTGACCCAATAAATATATTTTTTATATACAAAATGTTTTTTGAATATGCCTCTTTTACGAGTTATTTGCTGGGCAATAACATTTTTAACTAGAATTCGATTTCCGCTTGGTATTTCTATTGCTGAAATATTAAGAAAACCTCATTCTTTTTCCCAATTAAACAAAACTCTTTGATATATGTTTCTAGACATAGATGAATGTTCATTATCTGTCGACAACTGTCACAAAAACTCAAATTGTAGCAATACTGATGGATCTTTCTTGTGTACTTGCAACACTGGGTACACGGGAAATGGAAAAGTTTGTGAAGGTAAATAGAAGGCTTAATTTTTTTAATACAGTATTGCGGAGGATACTACTTTGTTGAAAAACCTAATGTGATTGTTTACAAAAAATACAGGTAAATCCATTTGCACTTTCTTGAGAGTTAATGGCAAGTGTATTATATAACTTTAGACATTGACGAATGTTCTCTATCTATTGATAACTGTCATACAAACTCCACTTGCACCAACAGTGATGGATCTTTCTTTTGCACTTGTGACAATGGATATACTGGAAATGGAGTTGTTTGCGAAGGTATATGGGTGTTGACGATTTCGCGAATCATTGCGGTTGAAGGGACACAGTCTCAATCAGGACGGTTCCCAAAAATAAGTTATGACAATTGAGTAATTAATTGCAGTTGGATAAATAATTTTGAGTTCAAAATGTTTACTCAGACTATAGTGAAATATTTTGAAGAAACACCTATTCAGTTTGTCAAATTAACCAAAACTATTTGGAAAATGTTTTAGACATAGATGATGCTTTTCGTATATCAATAACTGTCGCCACAAAAATTCATACTGCACCAACACTTATGAATTTTTCTTGTGCACTTGTGGTAATGGATATTCTAGACTGTTTACAAGATCAATAGAAGTCTTAGTTTTTGGAAGATAGCTTTTGAAAGGATATAAGACTTCGACCAAAACCTGCAAATTTATTATTTCAACAATAGGAAAACATTTACATCTCCCTAGAGATCGATTGTTTATGCCAACGGCTTCTATAGGTCATCAGACATCAATGTCAAAACCTCATATTACCTTTCTAAAAAAGCAAAACATTTATACACCTTCCTAAATTGTTTATGCCTACTGTTTTTATAATTCTTTAGACATCAATGAATGTTCCCTATCAATTGACAATTGCCATGCAAACTCAACCTGCAGCAATAGTGACGGATCTTTTCTTTGCACATGCGGTAGTGGATATAATGGAAATGGAACTGTCTGTCGAGGTACATTATGTAGATGATGATGAATTTTTAAATCATTCCAGTTCCAAACAACCTCATTCATTTTCCCAATTAAACAAAAACTCTTCGATATCTGTTTCTAGACATAGATGAATGTTTATTATCCGTCGACAACTGTCACAAAAACTCAAACTGCAGCAATAGTGATGGATCTTTCTTGTGTACTTGCAACACTGGGTACACTGGAAATGGAAAAGTTTGTGAAGGTAAATAGAAGTCTTATTTTTTTAATACAGTATTGCGCAAGATAGGCCTACCAGCACGTTGTTGAAAAACTTGTGATTGTTTACAAAAAAAAATCCATTTACACTTTCTTGAGTGTTAATGGCAACTGTGTTATATAACTTTCGACATTGATGAATGTTCTCTATCTATTGATAACTGTCATACAAACACCAGACATCAATGACAAAATCTCATATTACCTTTCTAAAAAAAGCAAAACATTTATGTACCTTCCTAAATTGTTTATGCTGACTGTTTCTATATTTCTTTAGACATCAATGAGTGTTCTATATCAATTGACAATTGCCATGCAAATTCAACCTGCAGCAATAGTGACGGCTCTTTTCTTTGCACATGTAATAGTGGATATAGTGGAAATGGAACTGTCTGTCAAGGTACAGTATGTAGATGATGATGAATTTGCAAATTATTTCAGTTCCAAATAAGTAATGACAATTGAGTAATTGCATGTAGGTGATGATGAATTAGTAAATCATTCAATTTCCAAACAACCTCACTCGTATTCCCAATTAAACAAAAACTCTTTGATATATGTTTCTAGACACTGATGAATGTTTATTATCTGTCGACAACTGTCACAAAAACTCAAACTGCAGCAATACTGATGGATCTTTCTTGTGTACTTGCAACAATGGGTACACTGGAAATGGAAAAGTTTGTGAAGGTAAATAGAAGTCTTATTTGCGTAAGATAGGCCTGCTAGTACTTTGTTGAAAAACTTGTGATTATTTCCAAAACAAATCTATTTACACTTTCTTGAGTGTTAATGGCAACTGTGTTATATTGATTGATTGATTGACTTTATTGACACTCCCCTAAAGGGGCTTTTCAGTGACAAAAATATATATACATATCAATTAATTACTATAATTATACATGAGATCCTAAATTCATATAATAAGATCACGCAATTACTTTATACACAAACACGACATCAAATTCTTGACAACAAGATTAACAACAGCAGCATACAACATACATCAACATCATCAACAGCGACAGCAAAAACAACTACAACAACAACATCAACGACAATAACAACGACAACGACAACAGAAAAACATGCCCTTAGGCTAACTATCTAGAAATTGCTGAAGCAGTTCCCGTTTCAGTTTAGATTTAAAGCTTGGAGTAGATTTGCAAAGTTTTATGTCAGGGTTAATGTTGTTCCAGAGAGTGACTGTTCTGTATTGGAATGTTCTTTGTCCTGCAGTTGATCTGTATAACGGAACATCCAGCTGTTTAGTATTTCTTGTATGGCGACCACTCACTTCACCTCTCGTTTTGAACTGGGAAGATAAGTAGGCAGGGGCGCAATCGTCGCGACTGTACAGATGTGACCAGGGCGCTTATATAGTGGGCGGTGCAACGCGCTGATGTCGCGCTGATCGATGTGTGATGCGGAAAAGGACTGGCACGAGCGTGCATTTCGGCAAAAGTTGACAAGGAGCGTGTTTGTTTCTGCTGTTGTTTTTTCGCTGTTTTTTTCATTAACTACGAAATTCTTGAGGATGTTTTTGCACTGTAACAACGAAGTAGTAACTAGTGTATCGTACGAATACTTGTTTGGCCTGTATAGTTGAATTTTGAAAGAAATATTGAGGATAATGAGTCGGGCTTTTGATGACTTCAATGAAGGGAAATTTTCAAAACAGCATTTGGGCATGTTATCAAGTCGTCCAAACTTCGAAATTCAGTTGATGGTAAAGATTATAATTATGTGCTTATCTCCAAATGTTTTCATAAGACTCGAAGTTGAGCAAATGAATATACAGCGTTGGAAAGTGAGGTAGTTTTGTGTGTTAAATTTTGCCTCGTTTCACCATTATTTCGCTGCAAAAAAATAAACAACAATTGTATTTTGGCCATGTCATGATTTTTTGTTATTATGTTAATAATTTTGTACGACTTTTAAAGCATTCAATTGAAGTAATTCTGAGTCGTAAACATATTTTACTTCTTGGCCTTTGAATCAAAATACGACTCGCTCGGACGTTTGTTGAGCGCAATAGTCGAAAAAGTTGCGTCCCAACTTTGATTTTTTTTGACCGGCTGGCCAAGACAACTTCTCGTAAGGATTCGTTAAAAAATACAAATTCAAGTTGAACATTTCTTGATTTTCAACTGAAAAGATCAACTAGTGGCTAAAATTAATTATGAATTGTATTCTATCGAACGTGAACGATACGTGTACGTGCGTACGAAGAGTTTTAAAAACCTTTCACGTCATGTTTCTTGCGAAAGCAACCGTTCGTAAGCTTTCGCAAGCGTTTTGAGCAAAAACTCTAAAATATTGGCAGTATTACCGGAAAATACAATAGCAGAATCTACTAAATTATCGTATAACATCGGAATTTTACCCCCAATATCTATTTCTTCATCAAAACTTGACTACAAAACAGTCAAAACTTCCAGCTCAGTTTTCCCGCCATATTTATCCTTGCCATAAGACAACATCGCCATAGTAACCACAACAAACTCGTTACTAGTTCATTGCATCACACATCTGCCTATAGCCGTTTCACCGCCCTATATATAAGCGCCCTGGATGTAACTTCACGGGAAACCAGCGCAGTTCCTTCAGTATCGGGGTGATGTGGTCAAATTTCCTTCTCTTGCTGTTCTGTACTGCGAAGTTCTGGACTCCCTGAAGTCGGGATAGGTTTCATAGGTTGCTGCAGGAAGTATTTGACCAAAGCCAGGAACAATAGTACAGTTTGCTAAATACTAAGGCGTTGATGACAGTTATTAAAAGGTTTTTACGGAAGACACGCTTAGCGCGATTTGTCTGCCAGAGACTTGACTTACAGGATGAAAGAGTAGAAAGGATATGATTGTCGAAGGAGAGGATTGGATCAAACTTAACTCCGAGATCTTTCACTGATGAAGCAGGTGTAAGTTCCTTACCAAGTAGCGAGAGTCTAAAATCAGGTAACTTCAAGAGCATTTGGCGGCTTCCGTAGACCATCAATTTAGTTTTGTCTGGATTCAGCAAGAGCAGGTTATCAAAGCACCAGTTTCGCATTCTAATCAAATCCTCGTTTAGATCAGTCAGCGCAATGTTCGAGTCATTGATTCGGAAGGATAGAAGGAGTTTGGTGTCATCAACGTACGATTCTGATGAACAATTTTTGGCGACTGACGCAAATCATTCACATAAATACTGAAAAGTAACGGGCCCAGAATACTTCCCTGTGGGACACCACTAACCACTGGCAGTTTCTCAGATAGAGTAGAGTTGATACGTACTGCTTGGTATCTCTCAATGAGGTAACTTTTAAACCAACCCAGGTATCTAGACGAGACACCAACGTCCTCAAATTTAGCAAAACATTAGACATTGATAAATGTTCTCTATCTATTGATAACTGTCATACAAACACCAGACATCCATGACAAAACCTCATATTACCTATCTAATAAAAGCAAAACATTTATGTACCTTCCTAAATTGTTTAAGCTGACTGTTTCGATATTTTTTAGACATCAATGAGTGTTCTCTATCAATTGACAATTGCTATGCAAACTCAACATGCAGTAATAGTGACGGATCTTTTCTTTGCACATGTAATAGTGGATATAGTAGAAATGGAACTGTTTGTCAAGGTACAGTATGTAGATGATGATGAATTTGTAAATCATTCCAGTTCCAAACAACCTCACTCCTTTTCCCAATTAAACAAAAACTCTTTGATATATATTTGTAGACATAGATGAATGTTTATTATCTGTCGACAACTGTCATAAAAACTCAAACTGCGGCAATACTGATGGATCTTTCTTGTGTACTTGCAACACTGGGTACAATGGAAATGGAAACGTTTGTGAAGGTAAATAGAAGTCTTAATTTTTTAATACAGTGTTGCGTAAGATAGGCCTACTACTTTGTTGAAAAACTTAATGTGATTGTTTACATAAAAAAATAAATCGATTTACACTTTCTTGAGTGTTAATGGCAACTGTGTTATATAACTTTAGACATTGATAAATGTTCTCTATCTATTGATAACTGTCATTCAAATACCAGATATCAATGACAAAACCTCATATTACCCTTCTAAAAAAGCAAAACATTTATACACCTTCCTAAATTGTTTATGCCGACTGTTTCTATAATTCTTTAGACATCAATGAGTGTTCTCTATCAATTGACAATTGCCATGCAAACTCAACCTGCAGCAATAGTGACGGATCTTTTCTTTGCACATGTAATAGTGGATATAGTGGAAATGGAACTGTTTGTCAAGGTACAGTATGTAGATGATGATGAATTTGTAAATCATTCCAGTTCCAAACAACCTCACTCCTATTCCCAATTAAACAAAAACTCTTTGATATTCATTTCTAGACATAGATGAATGTTTATTATCTGTCGATAACTGTCTCAAAAACTCAAACTGCAGCAATACTGATGGATCTTTCTTGTGTTGCAAAACTGGATATACCGGAAATGGAAAAGTTTGTGAAGGTAAATAGAAGCCTTATTTTTTTAATACTGCAGTATTGCATAGGATAGGCCTACTACTTTGTTGAAAAACTTAATGTGATTGTTTATAAAAAAGAGTAAATCCATTTACACTTTCTTGAGTGTTAATGGCAAGTGTGTTATATAACTTTAGACATTGATGATTGTTCTCTATCTATTGATAACTGTCATACAAACACCAGATATCAATGAGAAAACCTCATATTATCTTTCTAAAAAAAGCAAAACATTTATACAGCTTCCTAATTGTTTATGCCGACTGATTCTATAATTCTTTAGACATCAATGAATGTGCTCTATCAATTGACAATTGCCATGCAAACTCAACCTGCAGCAATAGTGACGGATCTTTTCTTTGCGTATGTAATAGAGGATATAGTGGAAATGGAACTGTCTGTCAAGGTACAGTATGTAGATGATGATGAATTTGTAAATAATTTCAGTTCCAAATAAGTAATGACAATTGAGTAATTGCAGTTGGATGAATAATATTGAATTCAGAATGTTTACTTGGACTATAGTGAAATATTTTGAAGAAACACCTGTTTCCTTTGTCAAATTAACGAAAGCTATTTGGAGAATGTTTTTAGACATAGATGAGTGCTTTTCGTATGTCATAATAAACTGTCAGAAAAATGCATACTGTACCAACACTTATGGATCTTTCTTGTGCACTTGTGGCATTGGATATTCTAGAAATTGGCTGTTTGCAAAGATAGATAGAAGTCTTAGTTTTTGGAACAAAGCATTTGGAAGGATATAATACTTCGTCCAAAACCTTCATATTACGTATTTCAAAAAAAGGAAAACATTTACATCTCCCTAGACATCGATTGTTTATGGCAACTGTTTCCATATGTCTTTAGACATCAATGAGTGTTCTCTATCAATTGACAATTGCCATACAAACTCAACATGCAGCAATAGCGATGGATCTTTTCTTTGCAAATGTAATAGTGGATATAGTGGAAATGGAACTGTCTGTCAAGGTATGATATGTACATGATGATGAATTTGTAAATTATTTCAGTTCCAAACAACCTTATTCCTATTCCCAATTACATAAAAACTCTTTTATATATGTTTCTAGATATAGAAGAATGTTTATTATCTGTCGATAACTGTCATAAAAACTCAAACTGCAGCAATACTGATGGATCTTTCTTGTGTACTTGCAACAATGGGTACACTGGAAATGGAAAAGTTTGTGAAGGTAAATAGAAGTCTTATTTTGTAATACAATATTGCGTAAGATAGGCCTACTAGTACTTTGTTGAAGAACTTGTGATTATTTACAAAAAGGAATCTATTTACACTTTCTTGAGTGTTAATCGCAACTGTGTTATATAATTTTAGACATTGATGAATGTTCTCTATCTATTGATAACTGTCATACAAACACCAGACATCAATGACAAAACCTCATACTACATTTCTAAAAAAAGCAAAACATTTATGTACCTTCCTAAATTGTTTATGCCGACTGTTTCTATATTTCTTTAGACATCAATGAGTGTTCTATGTCAATTGACAATTGCCATGCAAACTCAACCTGCAGTAATAGTGACGGATCTTTTCTTTGCACATGCAATAGTAGATATAGTGGAAATGGAACTGTTTGTCAAGGTACAGTATGTAGATGATGATGAATTGTAAATCATTCCAGTTCCAAACAACCTCACTCCTTTTCCCAATTAAACAAAAACTCTTTGATATGTATTTGTAGACATAGATGAATGTTTATTATCTTACGATAACTGTCATGAAAACTCAAACTGCAGCAATACTGATGGATCTTTCTTGTGCACTTGCAACACTGGATACAATGGAAATGGAAACGTTTGTGAAGGTAAATAGAAGTCTTAATTTTTTAATACTGTGTTGCGTAAGATAGGCCTACTACTTTGTTGAAAAACTTAATGCGATTGTTTACAAGAAAATAAATCGATTTACACTTTCTTGAGTGTTAATGGCAACTATGTTATATAACTTTAGACATTGATGAATGTTCGCTATCTATTGATAACTGTCATACAAACACCAGACATCAATGACAGAACCTCATATTGCCCTTCTAAAAAAGCAAAACATTTATACACCTTCCTAATTGTTTATGCCGACTGTTTCTATAATTCTTTAGACATCAATGAATGTGCTCTATCAATTGACAATTGCCATGCAAACTCAACCTGCAGCAATAGTGACGGATCTTTTCTTTGCGCATGTAATAGTGGATATAGTGGAAATGGAACTGTCTGTCAAGGTACAGTATGTAGATGATGATGAATTTGTAAATAATTTCAGTTCCAAATAAGTAATGACAATTGAGTAATTGCAGTTGGATGAATAATATTGAATTCAGAATGTTTACTTGGACTATAGTGAAATATTTTGAAGAAACACCTGTTTCCTTTGTCAAATTAACGAAAGCTATTTGGAGAATGTTTTTAGACATAGATGAGTGCTTTTCGTATGTCATAATAAGCTGTCAGAAAAATGCATACTGTACCAACACTTATGGATCTTTCTTGTGCACTTGTGGCATTGGATATTCTAGAAATTGAATGTTTGCAAAGATAGATAGAAGTCTTAGTTTTTGGAACAAAGCATTTGGAAGGATATAATACTTCGTCCAAAACCTTCACATTACGTATTTCAAAAAAAGGAAAACATTTACATCTCCTAACATCGATTGTTTATGGCAACTGTTTCTATATGTCCTTAGACATCAATGAGTGTTCTCTATCAATTGACAATTGCCATACAAACTCAACATGCGGCAATAGCGATGGATCTTTTCTTTGCAAATGTAATAGTGGATATAGTGGAAATGGAACTGTCTGTCAAGGTATAATATGTACATGATGATGAATTTGTAAATCATTTCAGTTCGAAACAACCTCATTCCTGTTCCCAATTACATAAAAACTCTTTTATATATGTTTCTAGATATAGAAGAATGTTTATTATCTGTCGATAACTGTCATAAAAACTCAAACTGCAGCAATACTGATGGATCTTTCTTGTGTACTTGCAACAATGGGTACACTGGAAATGGAAAAGTTTGTGAAGGTAAATAGAAGTCTTATTTTGTAATACAGTATTGCGTAAGATAGGCCTACTAGTACTTTGTTGAAGAACTTGTGATTATTTACAAAAAGAAATCTATTTACACTTTCTTGAGTGTTAATCGCAACTGTGTTATATAACTTTAGACATTGATGAATGTCCTCTATCTATTGATAACTGTCATACAAACACCAGACATCAATGACAAAACCTCATACTACATTTCTAAAAAAAGCAAAGCATTTATGTACCTTCCTAAATTGTTTATGCCGATTGTTTCTATATTTCTTTAGACATCAATGAGTGTTCTCTATCAATTGACAATTGCCATGCAAACTCAACCTGCAGTAATAGTGACGGATCTTTTCTTTGCACATGTAATAGTGGATATAGTGGAAATGGAACTGTTTGTCAAGGTACAGTATGTAGATGATGATGAATTGTAAATCATTCCAGTTCCAAACAACCTCGCTCCTTTTCCCAATTAAACAAAAACTGTTTGATATATATTTGTAGACATAGATGAATGTTTATTATCTGTCGATAGCTGTCATAAAAACTCAAACTGCAGCAATACTGATGGATCTTTCTGGTGCACTTGCAACACTGGATACAATGGAAATGGAAACGTTTGTGAAGGTAAATAGAAGTCTTAATTTTTTAATACAGTGTTGCGTAAGATAGGCCTACTACTTTGTTGAAAAATTTAATGCGATTGTTTACAAGAAAATAAATCGATTTACACTTTCTTGAGTGTTAATGGCAACTGTGTTATATAACTTTAGACATTGATGAATGTTCTCTATCTATTGATAACTGTCATACAAACACCAGACATCAATGACAGAACCTCATATTACTTTTCTAAAAAAAGAAAAACATTTATACACCTTCCTAAATTGTTTATGCCGACTGTTTCTATATTTCTTTAGACATCAATGAGTGTTCTCTATCAATTGACAATTGCCATGCAAACTCAACCTGCAGCAATAGTGACGGATCTTTTCTTTGCGCATGTAATAGTGGATATAATGGAAATGGAACTGTCTGTGAAGGTACAGTATGTAGATGATGATGAATTTGTAAATTATTTGAGTTGCAAATAAGTAATGACAATTGAGTAATTACATGTAGATGATGATGAATATGTAAATCATTTCAGTTCCAAACAACCTCACTCTTATTCCCAATTAAACAAAAACTCTTTGATATATGTTTCTAGACATTGACGAATGTTTATTATCTGTCGACAACTGTCACAAAAACTCAAACTGCAGCAATACTGATGGATCTTTCTTGTGTACTTGCAACAATGGGTACACTGGAAATGGAAAAGTTTGTGAAGGTAAATAGAAGTCTTATTTTGTAATACAGTATTGCGTAAGATAGGCCCACTAGTACTTTGTTGAAGAACTTGTGATTATTTACAAAAATAAATCTATTTACACTTTCTTGAGTGTTAATTGCAACTGTGATATAACTTTAGACATTGATGAATGTTCTCTGTGTATTGATAACTGTCATACAAACACCAGACATCAATGACAAAACCTCATACTACATTTCTAAAAAAAGCAAAACATTTATGTACCTTCCTAAATTGTTTATGCCGACTGTTTCTATATTTGTTTAGACATCAATGAGTGTTCTCTATCAATTGACAATTGCCATGCAAACTCAACCTGCAGTAACAGTGACGGATCTTTTCTTTGCACATGTAATAGTGGATATAGTGGAAATGGAACTGTTTGTCAAGGTACAGTATGTAGATGATGATGAATTTGTAAATCATTCCAGTTCCAAACAACCTCACTCCTTTTCCCAATTAAACAAAAACTCTTTGATATATATTTGTAGACATAGATGAATGTTTATTATCTTACGATAACTGTCATAAAAACTCAAACTGCAGCAATACTGATGGATCTTTCTTGTGCACTTGCAACACTGGGTACAATGGAAATGGAAACGTTTGTGAAGGTAAATAGAAGTCTTAATTTTTTAATACAGTGTTGCGTAAGATAGGCCTACTACTTTGTTGAAAAACTGAATGTGATTGTTTACAAAAAAATAAGTCGATTTACACTTTCTTGAGTGTTAATGGCAACAGTTGTGTTAAATAACTTTAGACATTGATGAATGTTCTCTATCTATTGATAACTGTCATACAAATACCATACATCAATGACAAAACCTCATATTACCTTTCTAAAAAAAGCAAAACATTTATATACCTTTCTAAATTGTTTATTTCGGCCGTTTCTATATTTCTTTAGACATCAATGAGTGTTCTCTATCAATTGACAATTGCCATGCAAACTCAACCTGCAGCAATAGTGACGGATCTTTTCTTTGCACATGTAATAGTGGATATAGTGGAAATGGAACTGTCTGTCAAGGTACAGTATGTAGATGATGATGAATTTGTAAATCATTCCAGTTCCAAACAACCTCACTCATATTCCCAATTAAACAAAAGCTCTTTGATATTCATTTCTAGACATAGATGAATGTTTATTATCTGTCGATAACTGTCTCAAAAACTCAAACTGCAGCAATACTGATGGATCTTTCTTGTGTTGCAAAACTGGGTACACTGGAAATGGAAAAGTTTGTGAAGGTAAATAGAAGCCTTAATTTTTTAATACTGCAGTATTGCATAAGATAGACCTACTACTTTGTTGAAAAACTTAATGTGATTGTTTACAAAAAAAATAAATTCATTTACTCTTTCTTGAGTGTTAATGGCAACTGTGTTATATAACTTTAGACATTGATGAATGTTCTCTATCTATTGTTAACTGTCATACAAACACCAGACATCAATGAGAAAACCTCATATTACCTTTCTAGAAAAAGCAAAACATTTATACACCTTCTTAATTGTTTATAGCGACTGATTCTATAATTCTTTAGACATCAATGAATGTGCTCTATCAATTGACAATTGCCATGCAAACTCAACCTGCAGCAATAGTGACGGATCTTTTCTATGCGCATGTAATAGTGGATATAGTGGAAATGGAACTGTCTGTCAAGGTACAGTATGTACATAATGATGAATTTGTAAATTATTTCAGTTCCAAACAACCTCATTCCTTTTCCCAATTACATAAAAACTCTTTTATATATGTTTCTAGATATAGATGAATGTTTATTATCTGTCGACAACTGTACCAAAAACTCAAGCTGCAGCAATACTGATGGATCTTTCTTGTGTTGCAAAACTGGGTATACTGGAAATGGAAAAGTTTGTGAAGGTAAATAGGAGTCTTCATTTTTAGTGTGAAGTTTCTTCGAAACTTCACAGTATTGTGATGACTGGGGGGAAATTCACACGAATCAGTCAGTCAGTCATTCATTCAGTCGTACAGTAAACTTTCCGGGGGGTGTATACGATTTATGTTCGTAGTGATATATTGTCAGTACTTTGAAGGTTATTTAAGCAATTTCAGTCAACTTATTGACATATTCTGGTATCCTTTTGCCAAGTTCACAAAAATTTCGAGGAATCGCTTTTGTTATTGTAATTTTTTGTAAATTTTAGAACATTCGCTTCTCATGTTGTGTAAAGGATCTTTACCCCCGGAACACCCGATTTTTCTTTAGTAGCGCAAATGCGCATGCGCTATCAAGCCGTAGATCACGATGGCGTGACGATATGCTAGGAAGGAGTGACAGTGTTGTTTTCAGATGTATAAACATTTCAGACGTGAATATTGAGTATATTTTTGAAAATCTACGCAATATATAAATTGATCTTATGTATTACGGGCGTTCAATTAAGTGCCGATAATATTTAGACGGTATGTTCATTATACAGAGCTAGGAAGGAGCTAGAACGCCTAGACAGTGCAGTCAACACTCAACTCTTAAGTGTATAAACATTTCAGACGTATTAAATATTGAGTCGAAAATCTTTGAGATTCTAGGCATTCAATTGAGTACTGATATTATTTTCACGGTATACTCATTATACGGAGGTACAGTACGTGCGAAGAAGCGAGACAGTGTTGTTTTCAAGTATATAAACATTTCAGACATGAATATTGTGAAAATCTTTGAGATTTTACGCAATAATATAATATATAAATTGATGTTATGATTACCGGCATTCAATTAAGTGCCCATCGATATTATTTAGACCGTATATTCATTATACATTGTCATTGACTGTATAAGGTGCTACATCACAGAACTCAGTACAAAGAGCGAAAAATTGCGTGAGATCTGCATCAGATCAAAAAAGCGTAAACAACTATTAAACAGAAGCGGGTATTTGTACAGGCGTTTACGAAGAAAATATGCGAGACGAAAGAAATCAGTCGAGTCAGAGCTCCTTATTTAAATAAGAAAGACGCGGAGATAGCCAATGTGTTATGTTATTTGCTTCTCACTTTCATTAACTTTTGATAGTTTTATTTCTTATAGTATAATTCGCATAATATAAACTCCTAACATGTATATACTCTATCTCTAAAATCCCGTGTCCTACAACTATTTTCGCGCCCTTTTCGTTCGTTCCCAGTTTTCCCTGTCCGAGCAAATATAACTAAAATATTAATGTCAACAGTAAATGTCCAACATCTCCTCTTCTCTGAAAGTTTTTTCTTTATAAATATACTGTATATATACCGCGTTCCCTTATGTGTCTATACCTAGCCTGTCAGGTTTTTTAACTAACCGTCCACTACGTGTTTTGCTTGTAGAACTTGTTTCGGTACTTGTTTCATTGCGTTCTAAGTGTGCTGGTTGAGGGTTTTCTTGGGGCAGTTCATTGTCAGTAGGTACAGAAACGTTCTTTTCCGCTTCGGAC